ATGCATGATTGGTGATCTTATAGATTATGCAATTGAAACATATTTTATAGCCTTATAACAATGATAAAATTCACGAAAGCATAGTGTAATAATGGCAATGTTTATATGGCATATGACAATACTATCTTCAGTCTGTTAAGGGTTGGAGAAATATCTAAATACATTTTGCTTTTACTTGTGATAGATTCTATGCAAGGTACATTTTTTACTTTTGTAGATTTCTAGCATTGGAACAAATCATTTCCCATCCTCTTGTCAAAATAAAAATAAATTCTTAGAAAGTAAACTAAAGTGGTCTCTCTTTTTTAGAAATACAGTAAGCAACATGGGAACAATGAAACCAAAGAACACTCTGGAAATGATTATAAGGAACAGAAATGCTACCTGGAGAATTTTTCAAAATCTCATAGCTGTTTTCACTGATAGAAATAAACTAAAAGTGCAACTTTCTCTAGGAATGGAGTTAACTCAATAGTGAAGCCCTAGTACTGTCCCTATTTCATACTGCTGCAAAATGTTTACATTAATTACAAAGGAAATTAAAAAAGACAAATAATGTTCACTTTATATGCGTGTGTTTAAGGAAACTCTATTTTCTTCTACCCTATATATGAAAATTGTGAGGAGATTTTAGATGCTTATTTATTCAATAACTTGCAGTAGAATCTCTTGGAATCTTTGATGACCCAGCTAAAAAGGGGGGTGGGGTAATAGAAAGATATGGTATACTTTGTAGAGTGCAGTTTAATATAGCTTCCATATTAAGCTGGGAATTGCCGAAAACTAAGCAATTTCTAAAAGCACAGGAGAATTTTATGAGCAAGAAAACATCAAAACCGCCAAATTCTTACAAATTAATTTACTCTTAATTTTTCAACATTTTGTTTGGATAACTCTGTTGATCTTATCTTGTCAGAATAATAAAGTGTTAGATAACGTAGAAGATTCATCATTAAAATAAATATTGTATTACTTTTGAAACCCTTAGGGACAGCAGTGCTCTTTTATCACTTTTAAAAACTTTCACAGCTCCTCTCTACGAATTTGCTTCCAGTTTTGAAACTAATTCAGCATATTGCTTAATACGTTAAAACTAGTTCATCTCACTAAAAACTCTGTTTTAAAAAAGAAAAGCAAGTAGCAATCAGTTTAAGAAGAATTCTATTTTTTTTCTTAAACTGATAAACGAGGTGTATATTTCTAAAGGATCTTGGTTGGCATGATATTTGTGAAAATAAATAATTTCAAAAGTCATATTTTGTTGCAAGTGTTTAGCTGTCACAAAAAGAATTTTCAGCAGATGCTTATTTCAGGTTCTTTTTTTAAAAAATATGGTACATATACAATATTCATCTATTTAATTCTTGCAATTTTTTAATTTTTTCATGCTCTGAAAGATTATTGAACGTCCAAGATACTGTAGAAGGAAAATATGGCACTGACCCACCAGTACCACGTAGATGAAGATCTCAAACCTAATATTGGAAGATCTCAAACCTAGGACTGAAAGAGAACAAACAAGATAGCATTTCACTGAATTAGGCCCACATCCTAAAGCTGAGCTGGAAAAATTGATAACATGAAATTAAAATTTTAATTAACAGAGAATGAATCTCTTTTAACTTACAGATTGTATTTAAATACAGTATCTTACTAAGAATACTAAGAACCAGTTAGGGAAATTCAATGGAATTCTTATCCTTTATTCTCTTGCTGCCCCAATTGCAGTCTTTTTCTTCTCCTTCTCCTTCCTCTTCCCTTTCCTCCACCTCCTTTTTTCCACCTCTTAATTTCCATGGTTTAAATTAAATTGACAGACCAGTGAGAAGGATTGTACACCAAAACACACCAAAAATATAGAGAACCACTAAGTAGTTGTGCTTCCTGGTCCACTGACCTGGCAGAACTGAAATTGAGGATGTATATGCAATTCCTTCTTCTCCATTTCCAAGCTGTCTACTAGATTATTTCCAAATCATGTAAAAGAAACAAGACAAACAGCCCTTTAAAAAATAAAACACATTAGAAATGCTCATTCTTTTTCAAAGAAAAATGTCTTTAAACAAGGACAGTGTGCTATTTTCTGAGCAATAAATTCAGAATGTGATTCTTTGTTTATCTTTGTTATTTATTTGCAGCCTCTTTTGCATTTTAACTAAGCATATATACTCTGTTTTATTTGCAGAATAAACATCTACACTAGGCATAGTAATAAAAATATAAGAACTTATAGTGATGGTGACTCATGAGCTAAGAAGAAAATTTGTATGCTTTCAGGCAAAGCAAATAAAACCTACTTGAGTGTGTTATCCTATTATTATCTTGGACCAATTTTTAATAGATTATTGTGACTAAAGTATATTAGCAGTACTTCCTGATATTAATACATAATTTGAACACAAATAAATGGGAAAAATGGATTTTGAAATAGAAGTAGTCACAATGGTGAAATTAACTATTTTGCTTAGTGAAGTAACTACATTTTATGTGATCTGGAGACCATAGTTAGATTTCTTACAAAATAAAAAGAATTTTGAATCTGGGATTTGAAGATTATCTTGGACTAGCTGAATACCCATGCTCCCATACGAAACTATGTGATTGGACTTGATAAATCGACACTTACAGCTTGAAAATTAATGAATAGTTACCATTGACCTTTCCTCTCCCCTTCTCTCCCTCAGGCTTGCCCCACAGAAAGCTGCCCTATCCTCTCCCCTTCTCTCCCTCAGGCTTGCACCACAAAATCCTCCCCTATCCTATCCCCTCTCCCTCAACCTGGCTGCACAGAATCCTCCCCTATCCTATC